AATACTATTATTGGGTGGCCCAAATATATCAAATGTTAATAGTTTTGAAGCCCTTGATTCTTTTTCAAGAAAGATATGTTTTCCTTTTTCTTCCATTAACATTTGAAGTTGTAAAACAGCATCTTCGACTATTTGAGATAATTCAGTATATTCTTTTCTTGATGAATTTTCTAAACTTACTGAATTATCATGTATAGTTTTTAGTGCCTCTACTATGTATGGAATAACACCTAAATAATCAACACTCAAATTACCACTTTCATCTTTTTGAACTAAATCTGGAATAACTTCTTGAACTTCTTGTGCAATAAATCCATATTTTATTTTATTTGGTTCATTTTTATAAGCATATTTTTTACCAACTAAAGAAGTAACTGAATTTAATGCGTTTTCAATTGTTTGAATATCTGTTTTAGATCTAGCATCAGAACGAACAAGATATCCATTTTCAGCAAATATTTCACCAAAAACATGTAATCGTTTTAATTGTGTAGTTATTTGTTCTATTTTAATAAAATCAGAATTGTCTTGAATAATATTGGGGTTTTGTTGATTTGTTTCTTCAATGGCAATAGTTGCAGTTGGTTGAAATTGTTGAATTGGTTGTTCAGTTGGAGAAATATGATAATTATTTGTAATAAATTGACTATTAAATTGGTACTCAGATAAAAATGCAAATGGATAATTTGATTCCGAGATTTGTTCATGATTATTTGTTATTCTTGATGGAGATGGTACAGATACTTCATTTGATTGGTTTGGTGAAGACATTTCTATTTCACGAGCACCATTAGAAGTTTGATCAGGAGAATTAGTATGAATAATATTTTGTTCAGTTTTTAGAGTATTTTGTTCGATAATTGGGATTTGTGGAAATACTTCATTTAATGAATTTTGTTGCTTTGTTTCACTGCTTCCCTTTTCTTTAGAATTTGGTTTTTCAACTAATTGAATCATATATTTTTCGCAAAGACTTTTCATTGGTGTTTTGTTTTGTGTTTTTTTGAATGCAGTTGTTGGATACATATCAGGATAATTTTGAGTATAGTATTGACGTAAGTGAGCATCCCACACATGGGCATAACAATTAAATCGAGTTTTTACTGGTTCATTACAATTAGGAAAAACACATTTCCAATTTTTCTTTCTTTGTTTTTGTGTTCTTGGAATTTCTTCTGAAGAGACAAGCATTACCCCATTTTCTGCTTCATTCAAAGCATCATGATCTTGCATAGGTATTAAAATATTAGTTTTTTATTTTTTAGTTTTGTTTTATTTTATTTTTTCCTTTTTTAATTCAAAAATCAACTTCTTTCTTTTTTTTCCCAGTTTTTCTCACATAACAGACGTTTGATGAAATAAAAGTTTCGTTAATAATTAATTTTATAAAAAAAATAAAATTTTTTTTCATAGGATTTGTGTTTTTTTTTAATATGAACATCTTTTCATATTAACTTATCATTTTTTTTTTGTCCTTTCATTAAAAGAACTATAAATCTACTATTGAAATAAAATGAGTCAAGGAAAAACACTTCCAACACAAGGAAATACAAGAACAATGAATATCGATTCTATTTTATTTACAAATATTATTCATTCTGATTATATGTTTAAAACTTTAGGTTCAATTCATTCAATTTCAGATCTTATTGATATTATCATAAACGATGTTCATTACATAAGTCCATATATCCAAAAATCAAGTTCATCTCCTTCTACTGCTTTTTGTGTTTTATTAAGATTATTTCAATTAAACCCAACACCAGATGATATTAGAATGATGAGTACTCATTCAAATAAATATGTTAGGTGTATTGCAGCATTAATAATACGTTACAGTATTCAATTCAATTTATTACTTTCATATCTTAAACCGTTTGTTGATGATCGTGCTGTTGTTAACATATCTCTTCATGGAGAAAAAACAAAACAAATAAAATGTTTAGTTAAAGATTTAATTCTTGAACCAAAATTCGAAGGATGCATTCTTCCTCGTATTCCTCAAGTTTATTACAAACCTCTTTTAGATTTTTTTAAAGGAACTTTTCAACCTAATTCTCATAAATTCGATGAAGACAGCCTTACTTCATTTAGTGATCTCAAAAAATTTGTTCAACGTTCTGACCCTCATCAACATGACCGTTCTAGGTCTCCTTCTCCAAACTTAAGATATTCCCGTTCCTCTAGACAAAGAATTAGTTATAGAGAGCGAAGTCGTTCTGATTCTCGTGAACGAAGAAAAAATTATCATGAAGAGAGAAGATATGATTCAAGAAAAAATTAAAGGACGTTATAATTGATTGTTTTACAATTTTCGTTATATACAACATAATATAATGAAATTCGATTTTTTAGAAAAGAACTTAAAATAGTTAATGGTTTGGTTGTTGTTATTTATTTCTACTATTTATGCTAATAATTGTGAAAACGGTATTTTGATTAACTCATTGCCATCTTCTTTTTCTGTTTATAACTTCAAGATACTTTATATTGATAATGTCCCATATTATGGCATTTTGACAAATGTTCATCTCTCAAACAATCAACAAATTGTAATTTCTACTTGTGGTTCAACTAGTTCAATTGCAACATATATTTATGAAATTATTAATTGTTCAAACAGTAATGAGTTAATTTATCACTCTCGTTCAAGTGGTGGATGTGGTATATATGCAAGGTATAGTTTTATTGTTGAAGCAGATAAAAATTATTCATTTTTTATTTGTTCAAAAGTTCAATCTTCTTTTTCATTATTATTTTTCAATCGTTTGTTGTTTTTGTTTTAATAATTCTTAGCGTTTTATTTATTATAAGTATTTATCATATAAAGAAGAAAATTTAACAAACACACCTTATTTTCATATTCAATCTCTCCCATTTTATCATGAAAATGAAATAAATTCTATTAACCCTTCTGTTAATGAAGATTGTATTAATGATGAATATGGTTATTGGTATAAATTTCAAGGAGATGGAAATCAGATCAACATATCTTTATGTAACTCTTTTAGTAGTTTTGATACTTTAATTACAATAATGGAAGCTACTGAAACTAATGGGGTTGTTACAAAAAAATGTTTATTACAAGATGATAATGGTTGTAATGAAAATGGATTGTCATTCTTACAATTAAATACAACATATAATACATTATATTATATTTTCATTTCTGGTATTCATAAGTCAACTGGATCATATTTCCTTCAAATTACCCCATATAAAAAACAGTTCTTTTGTCATAGTCCAAGAAAAACTGTTCTACCTCAAACTATTAGTACTAGTATTACACAAGATGATCCCATTACCAATGATCCAAGTGGAGAATACCATAGAGGATTATGGATAACAATGGATGGATATAATCTTATGATTTACATTGATGCATGTCCAACAACAGAATTAGGTTGTAATATTATTTTAACGTCAACACTTGACTGTATAAAAGAACAAACATTAACATATAATACAGAACGAGGAAATGGGTTTTGTTCTGCTTCTTTTTATGGAAAAAGTGGTCAAACATATAAAGTAAAAGCATCTTCAACAAATATTACAACATGTAACTTGCATATCCAAATGTATGGTTTGTAATATTTTAACTTATAAAATGAATAAAATTAATTTTTAGAAACAAATGAAGTTCCTCCATCATATAACATTTGGCTTTTGATTTGTACTGCAATATTTGGTGCACTTATCATTATCACTGCAACATCATCAATTATATATGCAATTCTTAAAAAGAAAAGAATGAAAACATCTATTCCAGATGTTGAACTTCAAGTGATAACAAATAAATAAATGACTGTTTATTATAACATTAAAAATGAACTTTCAAAAACTGAATTACAAAGACTTGAATCCAAACTCTTTATCTAAGTCTTCAACAAGAGAATGTAAAGGAACAACATCTTCTTTTCCTAACATTTTATATTGACGACAAAATGCATAAAAATGTTTAAATCCTCGAAGAGTAATTCCTTGAATACCAAGTTGTTCTAAATGTTCCATGTGATTATAAAACATATGAGCGTATACTCTAAATAATCGTTTAAATATTTTCCTTACTGTTTCTGCAAATTGTTTTGGTGGTTTACTTGTAAATTCAGCTGGAAAAATAGAAGTATCATCAAAACAATTTTGAACCCATGTAAATAATTTTTCACAATACTCTGGAGCACTTAATTTTACTGATTTATTATTTTCAATCCAAATATATTCCATTTTAGGACCAGCATTCATTACAGGACATCTTGTTGTAGTACATAAAGCTGTAATAGATGAATAAGTTAAATTAATTTCATTAAATAAATCAAAACAATTAACAGCAACCCAATCATTAATATTTTGCCCAGGTGGACATTTAACAGCATGAAGAATATCTCCTTTGTTAACTCCATCTTTAATTTTTATATGAAGTTCATGTCTAACTGTCCCGTGTGGTAATTTTTTGATAGGCTTCATCGTAACAATCTTCTTTCGTCCAAACATTTCACTTTACACAATGAATTTATTTTTTTTAGATGAACTTTTCCTTTTTTTTTGAAATGTCTAAATGAAAAATACTTTCTCACAAAAGAATTTTTTCTTATTAATTAATTTGAATAAAAGGAAAATTTTTAATTTTAGGATATTAATTAATTACAACATATTCAATGTATAAAGAATAACAACGCTGAAAATGGTAACTGACGTAAGAAACACAAGAACTGACATTGATATAAATACTGTTTTAGGAGCATAAAATAAGCAGCTGTGTCTTTCCGTTTTTGAATAATGCTCTAATAACAATAATTTCTCAGAATCAGAGTCTTCTGGTAAATTTAAACTCGGGCTTGTGGGAATTAAAATTGGTGTAACAATACACCTGTCACAGTCCATAATTTTATATATGGAGTTCTACTTTTGAGGGTTTAAAGCGATCAAATCAAAACTTTCATGACGTTTTTGTATTTTTATTCAAATAAAACTATTTTCGAATCATTACTTTACTATTTAATCATTTGAGTGTCTCATTATCTGTCATTGGTGAATTTAGTTGATTGAACTTTACTTCAATTTCAAATTTAACTAACTTAACTCTGTTTCTTTTTTATTTAAACAGTCTTAATGGACTTAATTATTTGAGACATCACTCACTGTGTATCACAAAAGTATGACAATATTGTTCCAATAAGTTCAATAAAACAAACAGAATAAAGAAAAGAAGGGTAAAAAGGAAAAAGAAAGAAAAGAGAAATTAAAAAGAAGAAACAAAAGAATAAGTGAGTTTTATAATAGAGTCAGAATAAAAATTAAAAAAAAGGAGTTAATTAAGTGTTGAAGAGGTGTTCACTATTACTCTTCGTTTTGTTGAGAAAAGTCAGATTGTTGTGGATATGCAAGGTATGTTTTAATGTGATAGAACCATGTTCCATTCCATTATATTCTAACTATAATAATTTTCACTTCTTTTATGATATCAATTTCATTTTTTTAATTGTTTTATTAATTTAATCTTCTTTGTATTTACCAACAGATTTATTGAAGTTATTATTGGGTTTTATCATATTTTATTTTATCATATTTATTCTATTTTTTATTTCTTTATTCTTATTTCTTTTCTTCAATTAATCTATATTATTTTAATTAATTTAATTCATTTATTTTATTTCTTATTCTATTTCTTTGTATTCATTTCTTTATTCTTTCTTGTTTATTTATATTCATTTCTTCTTGTTTTTTGTTTCTCTATTTTGATTCTTGTGTTTCATTTCATATTCATCGTTGTATTATCATCATTGTTTTATACTTTCTGTTTCTCTATTTCTTTCTTGTTTCTTTTTTATCATATTGATGTATTGGTATAATTTT